ATTAGCAGAATGGCAATCTGATTGATGGCATTCATCAAAGGTCTATGGTACGATTCGACACTTGCTATCATTCTTGATGTCAAGCACTATTCTTTTTAGATAATGAGAAGGAGAATATATCAGGAGTCTGTGATCAAAATTTCTTCGACATAACTAAGGTAGACAGCTAAATAGATTTAACCACATGGACTTCAGCTGATAGTCAATACCAGGCCCAGATTCAAAGACAGTCAGCATAATCTTCGCAGAGTGTATACATAGGGCGTCATATATATCCACTCTTTCCCCCTTTCACTCCTTCACATGCCTCGTTATAGGACATGATCTACCCAAAAGGTAACAAAAATTATTCAACTCCAAATATCAGAAATAGGAGAAAAGAGAAACAAGATAGTAATAGATCGCACAGCCCTCGTTTTCTTGGAAGGGCCCAAGGGGTATTTCAAAGACACGGAAGATTTAGGTAGTTGGGAAATGGATGGCAAGCAAAAACAGACACAGATAATAATGAGTGTGGAGAGAGGATTAAAGGCTAGGAGTCATGCATAAATAGAAAGAAGAACAATGAAAGGGATAACAGATGATAAGTACAAGAACAGACGGTTTTCAGGCTGCTGCCTGTGATATATAGCTGGGTCACTTTGACGAGTTGCGGGCGTGAGAAGCGTTGTCTGACGAAACCGCTACGCCAATACTAGGAGTATTCGGCAGTGTCATTCCCTGAGGAGCAAAGCTAGGGCTTCTGTAGGGTTCGGGGATTGGTACGGCACCATATGATTGTTCCCCAGGAGCAACAGCAACATGGTGGTTGGCCCGTTCGGTACTGCCAGGCTCGAGAGCAGGACTTTGTGTCTCAGCCCGCGGTGCGTTGTGGATACTATTGGATGATCTAGAAGGAGGAGGCTGGAGTTGGAACGGCTTGTTAGTTGTGGTGTTGACTGAAGTGGCATATTGGGGCTGATAAAATTCGTTGGATTGTCCGTTCTCGGCAGCCGAATACGGGTTTTGTTTCATTGCTGGGCTTCGGGCAAACCCAGGGGTATTTGGGGCGGTTTGCACACGGAGATTGGCGAGATACAGATCAGATCTAGCCTTGTCACGGACGTTCATTGATTTGCGTAGCTTGCGCTTGGAGTAGAAGCGATAGAAGACAACAGCATAGATAGCAATCGTGATGGTATCAACGACGATTTCAATGATAATGCAAACAAGGGTCCAATCCTAAAATCAATGTTAATATATCGATTCAGTTGTGGTGGGTAGTGGGATGGCGGATATGGCATACCTGCATGCGGCAAACGAGAGCATAGTCGACCAATTCTTTGAACAAAGTGGCTCGTTGATTGTCCTTACAAGACCATCCCCAAAGGTCTTTACCATTACCGCTGTCCTTGCTGTTCTGTAGAAGACCAGCAGCTATAACCCACATTATGACGGTAAAGACGAAGAAGCCGCCGGCAAAAAGAGTGTAGTATACGTTTACTTTCTCTGCACGACGCTTCTTGCCACAGCAATTGTTCCAAAGCACGACCAGGGACAGGAACATGTTGATGGAGGTCAAAACCAGAATGAGGATTTGTGGCCAAGCGTTGGTATTTGGGTCCCAGGGTGTAAGTCCGTTTCTACTCTCTAGATGTCTGGTTGCGCGGAAAATAATGAACGACTGAGCAAGCAGTGCTAAGACAATCAAACTGCAGGACAAATTGACACCACGCAGCAAGATCTTTGAGAGGCGGACTCGTGTTTTAATTTTCTATGGAGCACATTAGGATATGTTCAATTAAGAGGTAGATAGGAGAGAACATACCAAATCCTTCGCGTTCTCTTCCTCTGCATCTTTTTCGTGAATCTCGAGAATCTGCTCCTCTCTAAAGGTTGGGCTCAGCGGGTTCGCATTTCCAAACCGACCAGGAGTGCCGGGCACTTTCATGGCACTCTTGAGCGGCGAGTTTGGTGCATTGGCTGAGGAACCGGGTGCATCTCTATCTGGCCGGTTATCAGACACGTAGCCAAACCCTACATCGGATACATTAGGCTGCTTGTTTGAGTCCAAAGAACCTGGTTTGGCTGGTGGGTCGGCAAAAGGAGACTCGGAAGGAGGGTCGCGGTTCGAGCTCTCCATTGTTGTCGACTGCGCAGCGAACCCAACCATTTGCTTGCGAGTTGGCTGTACTACGTCGACAGGAGTAACTGGATCTTGAGAGAACGAGTGTTCTGAACCCTCAGTATAGTCGTTAGGATGTAATCTAGACATCCCAGATATGTGTAAAGAAAGGCGAGGAAAGAGTGTCGGCCGCTTAACAGAAGAATTCCCTATTTAGCAGAAGCAGCCCCGAATCAGAGCTGACACTGGTGTGTCGTACAGGACGGACCTACGCATTCGCCATGTTAGGAAAACCAAAGACAAAGGAAGACATGACGGCCTGCATAGATCGACGTACGGAACAAATGTGAGCTTTTAAAAGGAGGTGTCAGCGTGTCCTGGTCGATGCAGTCTTTAGCAAAGATGAAAGAGATGGCGTGTAGGGGGGGTTGCTCTCAAGTAGGCACGAAACCAGTCGCAGCCGTAGGATCAGTGTAGTTAGGTGAGAGAGCAAGAAGCACACAAAAGAAAATCGTGAGGGAGAAAGAGAAGATGGAGGAGAAAAGCTGATGGGAGTGAGATATTGTATCCTTAGCGCCCATCGCAGCCAGGAACCCTGAGAGGGTGGGCAGCCTGGGCTATTTCAAGCAGCCAGTAGGCTCTCCACGTTAACCGCCCGCACTTGAGCAACGGGTATATTTATGCCAGGGAGTCTAGGCGTGAACCCAATCATTGTGGACCCCAGGCTTGAGAGATGCAGCCAACTGTGTCTGTATATGAAATGGAATACAATGTCGATCTGGGCATGGAAGGAAATCAAAGCCACCCTTGCTGATTTGCAGAATTGGCCAGGCATGACAAAGAGAAAACGGAAACGCAAGCTGTGATCGTGATGGCCCAGGGATCCCTTGACTGGGTGGTGCGAAGAAGAGCGAGGGGTGGTGAGGCCGTGGTCTGTCCAACAGTCGGTTACAACGAAGAATGCGTTTTGTTTGGTCCGTTGCGAGCGGTCCTGGGCGGCCACCTAGCGGTTACAGGGCCCATCCTGATTGAGAGACCGGGGAGGCGGTCGAATGACAAGCCAGAGTCGACTGCTGGGATGGATGGTGTGAATGCAGGGAGGATGCAGATGTTGCTGTAGTCGATGTGATGGGCCAGCAGCGCAGGTGATTTTCGCCGTGATGGATGCAAATTCCGTCACACGCTAATACCAGTGCGGCTAGACTGACGGGATCTACCCAGCCAATAAGCGTGTCATATTCTCCATTTAGGACCGCCCCGCTGGGCTTCTATTGGCTGAGATAATAAGCCTAATTTAGGGGCGCTAAAAATAGTGGAGCTCGATCCCACTTCTATAAATACATCTAAGATACTTTTATATACAGCTAAACTCTGCGTGAATGGAAGTATCTTGCAGGTACTACTCACCTTCAACCAAAGATATACGGGCAAGGCCCAATTGCAGGCATCGCGGGACACTCCGCCACTGCATTGCTGAAGAGGTCTTCATGCATCGTTTCCTCCCTGCATATCCATACATACATGCAACTTCTCTTCAAGGTTCTTGCTCGTAATCAATGAGTGAATTGAAATGTGATTGTCTGACTGCATCCTCATTCTCCAGAGTGTCGGGACTTGACCCCAAAATATAAAAGCAATCTGTTCAGTCTTCCTGTCAAGCCACGGACACGCACCAATTAATCAATACACAAGCTGACAAGGCATAGTCCTTCCGGGGTAATCAGAGCAAATCCCGCTGATCAAGTATGTTCACCCATCACTTTCGCTTGTATAACTCGAAGGGAGTCCCACTAAATATGGTTGATAAATGTTGGATGCTGTTTGCCAACCAACGCCTAAGAGTAATGCCAGTGATCTAAGGGCGAAAATTGCTGTCGGCCGCAATCAACCACTTCCTAGATTATTTTTGCCAGCACACGCGGGGAAACAAGTTCCAAACACCCGACTGTTTAAGTGATGATTAACTGCATGGCATGGTTACGGAGTGTCCGTTTTCGCCCCATTACTCAATTCAAACGGCTAAGCCCTGATGTAAGTCCAAACGCTGCGACCATTCCATCCTGCGCCTGCTTTAAGATGGTATAAGCGCAATATATTCAATGAGTAAATTCATGGGCACTTTATCTGTTGATCCCGTATCATGATATACTTGATGCGCCTTTAAGCCCTAAATAGCCCCTCAACATTGAAGCTACCTAACTTGCCTATGGTAAAAGGCCTTGGGTGATCGGCCCTGATCCAGAAGATTGTATGCAGCGGAGTGTTAGACAGTAATTGGATGGACGTTCCGTTTGTCCTCGAGTCCACTTCAAACACAAACACGTTCACTTCGTGTATCGTTGATCATTTGTGCATAGTCGACGGATGCGGGAGTGTTTGTATCGTATTGCGAAAATGTGGGGACTACGGTGATAATCGTTTGACTGTTTTTTCGTCTATATATATCTTGACAATAATCGGCAAGATCATTTTTCAACTCCGCGCATGTATACTGGCTGCTATTGCACATGACTTACCTATGCGCTGCCATTTTCACATTCACTGGTCTGCTCAGGGGTAAATGCCAGCATCCTTCATGTTGTGCTTGTTTCAACGTCTGATAACCCACAAAAAACGAGAGAGGCTAATTTGATAACGCGTCTACGGCCCCAAGCATAGGAAATTTATTGTTGTTTGCGAGTGCCTTAACTGACTAGCTATATTGACCAAATGCCTAGAGCGTGTATACAAAATCTGGCCGTTCGTCGCCTAGCATCTCGATGCCATGCTCATCAAGCCCTTCGACCCAAGCATTTCGCTCCCCTCGAATCCTCTTCCCATTCTCGATTCTCAGGAGAATATGCTGTAACACACTTCCACCGAAAAGGAAGACAATCAGGTATCCTAATACGGTGCCATGCCCAGGGAAGAAGTTTGGGGCGTCTTGATTCCTATAGATGTTGGAAGATATGACACCATTGAGGTTTCCCCAGCCAATAATGAAACCAAGACTGACACCACGCTTATATACTCCTATACATTAAATGTTAGGAGTAATATTATAGATACACCAAGACAAAAAAAGAAACTGACCTTCGGTATTGTTGCTGGCCCACGATATCGTATTTGGTATACATGGATAGATGCCCATTGCCCCGAGAAACGTCCCCGCATACCTTACCCCCGGGGACTTGGCTCCGAGAAGCATACTGAACCCAGCGATTCCAATGAGTGATACGCCGATATTGGATAAACCACGCATTTTTGTACGATCAGCGAATAGGCCGATTAGAATGGTCAAAAGACACCCTGCAGCATATGGAGGGACCGAGAGTAGTTGTGCCGTTGTTGATTTATACCCTAAATATATTAGCCAGGAGACGTACAAAATGTTAAATTTTTGAGGATATATACCCTAAGAAAAGGTCAGCGTATGTCGATACCACGACCGGGTAAGCTTATAGATAGAGGTGAAAACTCACTAGTTCCTTGATTATGGTAGGGAGAAAGAGCGAAAAAGCATAGAGTGGCCCAACACATCCAGCGTATATGAAAGCAGAAACGTAAGTTTTCCAGTCTTTTATACTAGCCCAGAAATACTCCATTTTGAAGTCTTCATGTCCAGCACTGGCTTGCTTGTCCTTTGCAAGGCGCAATAGGACTCGTTTCCGATCATCTTCGGATAGGAATGTTGCAGTGTCTGGGAAATCTTGCACCATCCAAAACGATGCTATAGCGATGACGATTGTAGCTAAGCCTTCCAGGATAAAGATCCAAGCCCAGCCTTCTTTGCCTCCAACGCCATTCATTTTTGCAATTGCAGCAGCAAGAAGACCACCAAATGAGCCGGCCACGGCCGCCGCAGAGAAAAAGATAGCCATTCGAATACCGAATTCGGTTCGTTTGTACCAGCAGGATAAAAAGTAGCCGACACCTGGGAAAAGTCCCGCTTCGGTGAATCCTAGGAACCATCTCGCGGCCATGAAGCCTGAAAAGTTCTTAGTAAGGCCCATAGTAGTCATACAGATACCCTAGGAGCAATAATGGTTAGTGCCAATTAAAGAAGAGACCCTCTAAGCTCAACCATACCCAGACAACCATGATAATTGGAATAAAAAGACTAGGTTTTAACTTTTTCAATAAGATGTTGGTCAATGGCTCAAAAATGGAATAAGAAACAAAGAATATGGTCAAAGCTGCCGCATATTGGCCATCTGAGAGACGAAGATCCTTCAAGAGGCCCTCGAGCTTTGCGTTTCCGACATTCGTTCGGTCTAGGAAGCTAAAGAGATATCAATAATAGGTGTCTGGAGTATGATCTGGCTTTTTTTTTTTTTTGACGAACCTGACAAGGTACAGCAACGAAAGCCAAGGGACTAATTTGAGGTCGAGCTTCCACAGAAGTGCTCTGTCCTGTTGACTTGTCTTAGCGATTAAGAAGCTATATATGTCATAACATAGACATCACACATCTTACCAGCTTCTGTCTTTCTTCAGGGCTCAAGTGAGCATATGGGTCTTCAAGCTCTATCTTTTGAGATATGGTCTTGACCTGGTCGTCTAGGTGCTCAGTGGAGCTTGGCTCCTCTATCTCATGTTTCTCCATGGTGGTTTCAAGTCCAACGGCACCAAACAGCGAAAAATCCAGGAACGAGGATTTCGGTGCGAGTGGTCCGGTATTTAGAGTCCTTCGCATCCACTAACCGGCCAATCCCCTGATCGCCTTCATCGTAGGAAGGATGAGGCGTGGGATGCGCACAGAACGCATTTAAGAGCTAGTGATCATAACAGGGGTCAGGTACCCAAACAGGCTTCTCCAGACTTTTCGGCCTTGAGCGGGTTCAAGCGCTGGTCCGGAGCGAGACCGGGCGACTGCTTACGAGGGCACGGATCTAGAAGCACTCCGTATTTCGGGAACGTTTAATTTGATCGGAAAAGGAAAGCGGGTAGTGTACATATCGTCTGCCAACTGCCGTGTTCCCATACAATTTGGGGTTGATGGACGGATGGACGGATGAACACATGACGTCTGCCACGATACCTGGGGTAAGATAATTCTGAGATGAATTCAGTGGGGATACCCCAGGAGCACATGTCCAAAGACTCGGTTTCTTCATCGTGGAGAAGCAGAGCCAGTAAAGGCGATTGGCATCCCGGGTGGAAGGACTCTGGTTTGGAGAATTCCTGATGGTCCACCTGGGGTTTGCCTCGTAGTGTCTACCTTCTCCCATGTACGTAAAAAAAAAACTTAGTCAGCATTTTAAGTTGAATAAGCAAATATGCTTAAAACCTTGATGTAACCACAAAGAACGCTAGGGCGTATTAGGATAGCTTGTCCCTTTTTCCCTGATGTTCGACATTTGAACCACGAGAAGCAGAAGAGAGAGAGAATGGGAAAGTGTTGTTGGATACAAAGCATACGGACCTCAGAAGTTTTTACTGAACAAGTCAATTGATTACTCTGGCTAGGGATGCCCCTTTCGCGCTCCCTTTTTCTGTCTAGATCTGGCTCTGCGGCAGCCCGTCACCTCCTTCGCCTGTCTAGCGGAAGTCAACCACCCCGCCTTGCAGTTGGCCAGGCAGCTGCATCATCTCCTTTCATTCGAGCATATTCTTCTGCCCCGCCTCCTCCTCCAAACCGCAACCGAAATAACTCAGAGATCAAGGTTCTCCCTATACTTGCTATCCTCGCAGTTGGAAGCGGCGTATACGCTTTCCTGATCAAGTCTCGCACGCCCAAGGATGTCAAACCTGGCAAGTGAGATGCCAAAGTCTGGCACTCCTGCTGAAACCGAGTTATTGGCCGAACTCACGCCACCTCTCACATCGACCAACACATCTCCTCGTTTCTCTACCGATGAAGTGACTGTTATCTTTGTTCTTGGAGGTCCGGGTAGTGGGAAAGGAACGCAATCTGCCAAACTCGTCAAGGACTATGGTTTTTCCCATCTCTCCGCAGGTGATTTGCTTAGGGCCGAGCAAGACCGTGAAGGAAGTCAGTACGGTGATTTGATTCGACATAACATTCGCGAAGGAATCATCGTGCCAATGGAAATCACGGTTACCCTCCTTTCCAACGCCATGGCTGCCATCCTCGAGGAGAAGAAAAAGAAAGACGAGAACAGCGGAGAACGGACCTCACGGTTTCTCATTGACGGATTCCCACGTAAAATGGATCAAGCTATATATTTCGAGGAAACAGTGTGTCCCTCGGCAGGAACTCTTTTCCTCTCCTGCCCGGAAGACGTCATGTTGGACCGTCTACTAAAGCGCGGAGAGACTAGCGGCCGTGACGATGATAATATCGAGTCCATCAAGAAGCGATTCCGTGTCTTTGAGGAGACTAGCATGCCTGTCGTCAACTATTACAAGAAGATGGGCAAGGTTATGAGTGTTTCTGCAGTTGGTACCGAGACTGAGGTTACTGCTCGCATTCACAGGGAGATAGAGAGTCGTGGCATCGTGCAGCCAAAGGGTAACTAATGCGAAAATGGAAAAGAAAACCAAAAAATTGTCATTTAGCAAAGCGGGTGGTGTGGACTTTCTCCCCTCCATTTTCATTCTAGATATAAATAATCCTTTTAATAGACATTTTCATAAAATCAAGCGACATGTACCTTCCATAAGATACACATATTGTTTACGTCAGACCAGTCGCAGAATTTACGAGGCAGTGTCAAACCCCTTCCAGGATGCCAGATGTCATCTCCCAAATCCCAGGAGATGGAAATGCCCATAGATGGCCCAACACCCATGCTACGTCCACCGTAAACCAATAAACCAAGATCCATAGGAATAGGTCTGATTGAAACCACCCATTTAAAGAAGAAACTCCGCAAGTATCCATATTTTGATTGGTATGATATGCGTTAAAAAAAAAAGGTCCTGGGTAACGAGGATCTGCATCAGATGGTTTCCGATTGAAGTTCTCTTCGCACGCCCGTGCCCATACACATCCAACGTCCACCCATCCCCATTTCATTCCACCTCCACTCGATCCAACCACCCCAGTCCATTCGTCCTGTAAGCTATGAAGTTTGGTTTGCGTGGGTGGCGCGCAATCCGATGTCGAAGTAAGGTAGATAAGGAATGTCGAATTGTGTGTTTTAGAAACCGAATAGAGCGAAGATGGTAGGAACGAGACACATCAGCTTTGTCGAGCCGTTTACCGGTACTATCGGAGAACATGAGTGTTTCGTTCAAGACTTTGCCGCGAGTGATTGATATGTCGTACCTTGATGAAACCGATATCTTTGGACTTCTCACGGAAGCATTGACGGCAGATCATGAGGCCGTACTTGCGGATGATACCAGCCTGATGAGCGCAGGCGCGGCTGCAGAAAAGGGTCCCCGTTAGCAATATATTCTATATCCAACCAACTGCCATCCAAACAGGTATCCTGGCGTTCGATATCGCGATGCATGGGTTATAGGAGCGTACCATTGACGGCTGCCCTTGCCGTAGTTTCGTGGGCGGCTGTAAAAGACGGATTCGTGGGTCATCTTGACGGTGAGTTGGTGATTCCGTGTAGTCGAAACGGCGTGAGTTCAAGGCGCTGCGATGGAGGTCTCTTTCTTCTGTGCGCTTTTTGGCAACGTCGAATTTTTGGCGATCCCGCAGAGCAGCGATTAGCGAGACTACACCTGAAACGGTTTAGTGTATCATGTGACATTAAATATTACGTAAA